AACTGAGAAGAAAGAAGGAGTAAAAAGAAAAGAAAATAAAGCGAAAAGTGCGAGGGGGTCATTCAGCAGCAGCAGCGGCGGCGGCATTAATGCGGGTCGTTTGTCTTCAATGGCGGGCATGTGGCCGCGGCCACCCCACCCACGGCCGTGGAGAGAAGCAGCCCCCCGCCTCTGCTGCCGCTGGCGTCCGTGTGCCACACGACGTCTTAGCAGCGGCTAAAATTCCCTTCACTTTTTTTAGTTACATCACCCTATAAGAATTTTCTTTTCTTTTATTTTTTTTTCTCTTCTCCTTCTTCCTTTCCATTTCTTTCGCCTTCTTGTTTGTTTCCATTTGCTTGCTGTGGTTTCTGCGCGTCTTCCCCCTCTTGCCTTCCTCCTCCTCTGCGGCAGAGGCGTTTGCGTTTTCTTTCCTCTTCCCGTTCTTCGCCTCCGGGGGCTGCCACCGTAGGAGCAGGGCTGGGGTGAGTCGCAGAGGAGTCGCTCTGCGCGACAGACATGGCGATCGTACCGCCAACCCCACCCCCATCGAGAAACTCCCCGCTGTACCCCGTTCACGCCGTCCTGCGCCGGTTTGACCTCCATGCGGGCTCCAGTAACGGTGTGGCACTGCAACGTATTGGCCCGCCGCCGCCGCCGCCGCTTCCGTCAGCTGCGCCCCTGCAAGGGGGGCGCATGGAGCTTGTCTTGTTTCCGTGCCAACTGGGCGAGCCCACGCAGCCCATCGGATGGCCTCCGGCCTCCCTGTATGAATGCACCGTGATGGTGAATGACGCATACGTGACGGAGGACTTCCCACGCTCCCCGACGCGTAGCGCAAGCCATCGCACCCTCGCGGGGCTGCCTCTCTCACGATACCTCCGCTTGAGAGAGGATGGAAGTATTGACCCGGAGGCGCCGCTCAGGCTGTTCGTCACAAGTAAGGCAAAATGGGCAGCGACGTTCTTGCTGGCGTGGTGCAGGGTGAATGACGCGAGTGCCGTGGTGGCGGATGTCGTTGCAAGGCTTTTGCGGTCGGAGGCGGCGTGCACCGGGTCGACTGCGTCCTCCGCCTCCTCCTCGTCGCTCAACGATGACGGCAGCGAGAACGGGGCGGAGTCCGATGTGGACGTTGACAGCGGGTGGGTGGAGGACGATGGCGACGATGTGGATAAGGCGGATAAGCCGGGCGGCGGCCACACGGCGTCGGCGGTGCAGCTTAGTAACAGGGCGACGTCGTCGGCGGGGACGGCCCTCGGGGCGGCGGCGCCGGTGGACGCTGAGGACGACGACGGGGGCCTTGTGGGTGACGGCGAGGCCGTTGTGACGCTGCGCTGCCCGCTGAGCTACCAGCGCATACGGCTCGCGGGGAAGGGCAAACACTGCTCCCACCTGGCCTGCTTTGACGTCGCGACGTACCTTGAGTCCTCGCTCCGCAGCAGTGCGTGGAACTGCCCAATCTGCGACGGTGCCGTTTTCGTCCATGACTTGCGCCTCGACCGGACGCTACAGTCTGCCCTGGACGGGTTGGGCGCCGAGGTGGATACCGTCGTCCTGTTCGGCGCTGGACACCGTGAGTGGCGTGCCGCGTGCCAACAGAAAGAAAGCTCCTTGGGCGCAACCGACAAACGCAGCAGCCGCAGGGGTGGGAGTGTGACGAGAGCGGCCCACGGCGATAGCGGGAAAGGACAGCAGGCGCAGCCGCAGTTGTGTGTCGTCGATGACAGCGAAGAGGAGGACGCGGGTGGCGACGACGCGGACGTTCTCGACATGCTGGCGGTTGCTGGCGGCAGGAAACGTGCCCGGTATGAACAGACTTGACAGCCTCGCCTAGAATTCCTTCACACTCACCTGCCTTTTTTTTTCTTTGTCTTGTTTCTGTTGTTGCTGCTGCTGTTGCTCCTCCTGGGATTCTGAGGGGAGGGGGGAGGGGTTCATGTGTGTTGACATCCTCCTCCGTGCACCCGCCACCTTTCCGTGGCCTCTGCGCAAGTGTGACCTGCGCGGTTCTTGTGGCTGTTGCCCTGCGTGGCGGGGTTGCACTTTCCGCTTCTCTCCTCGTTGTTCTCTCTCTTACTCTCTCACCGGGGGCGTCGTGCGGCGAAGGGCAGGCTATCTGCGCTTGTGCTCCGTTTGTTTGCTTTACTGGTAGTTCAGGGCGGTGCGTGTGTGTGTGTGTGTGAATACAACACTTTGGCTGCGAGGAGGGCAGCAGAAAAAGGGAACAAGAAGCAACAGCAATAATAATAGCAACAATAAAAAAAAGGGGGGTGGGGAAAGGCGGCCTGAGCTGACCCTGTCGCACGCAAGAAAAGTACGCGGACGCGGCAGTTACGCGACGCACCTGCGCCAGTGCATCTTTACCCACGGCCGGAGCCAAGCTGTGAGAAGTCGTACAGATGTTGGAGCCTAACCAGCCGAGGTTTGACTTCTCATCCCCACCACCAATGCAGCAGCAGCAGCAGCCATCGCCGTCACCGGCGCAGTTCTTTCCGGCGCAGCATAGTTCTACGGGTGGGAACGCATTCTATCCTTCTCCGGCGTTTGGGTCGGGCGGAGTGCCGCCGCCAGCAGCAACAGCAGCAGCGCCGCAGAGCGATGACCGTGTGTACAAGGGTGTGCACCCCGTTGTCGCCCTCTTTCATCTTGCATTCAAGGCGGGGGCGCTTCTGACGTTTATTCTGGGCAGCCTGTTTAGCTCCAGCTACGTCACCGTGTTTGTTGTCACCATCCTTTTCCTGGCTGCGGATTTTTGGACGACCAAGAACGTAAGTGGCCGTCTGCTTGTCTGCCTGCGCTGGTGGAACGAGGTGCGGGACGACGGCTCGACGCACTGGGTATTTGAAAGTGCCCCCGACGCGGAGGCGCGTGTGAACGCCTTTGACAAGTGGTTCTTCTGGATCACCACGGGTGGGAACTTTCTGGTGTGGCTGCTCCTGGCGATCTTCAACTTGATGTCCTCGAGACTGCCGATGACCATCGTTGGGGCCGTGCTGGGCGGGGCAAACTTCATAGGATTTCTCAAGTGCAGCCGAGATGCAAAGAAGCGGGTGACACAGTTTATGCTGGAACGGGCCGCGCAGCAGCAAGGCCTGGTGCGCGAGGCGGCAAGGGCGTTGTAAGGTGGAATAGAACAAGAAGCTGGCATCACGTGCATGTCTCTCTCTCTCTCTCCCTCTGTGTGTATATTTGCGGGTGTGTGTGTGTGTCTGTCTGGGGTGCACAGGGCAGTGCATCTCAACATTACAAATACAGCGCGTTACGGCAACGGAGAGAAGAAGGGCTGCCGGAAGTAGAGGAGGGGACAACACCCAGTGACGCGGATTATGAAAACATGCATACTGCAGGGGCTGTGATAGGGATGAGGTGCGGGACTCTGCGCGGGGCGTCCTTTTGCTTTGCCTTTGCTTGGCTGCTTGCTTTTTTTTCTTTTCCTTTTTGTTTCCGATTCCCTCAGCCTTCTTTCCACCCTTCCCTTGCGCCCCCCCCTTTTTTTTTCTCTTTGCTCGCTCCATCGCCTCTCTGGCCTCTTCCTGCGTGAGGATTAGCGCCCTTGGGTTGCCGGCGCGAGCTTCGCGTGGGTCTAGGCGGGGCGAGGGGAAGCAAACAAAGAAGAAGAAGAAAAAGGTCGCAGTGGCGGCGGCAGAAGTGACCACAGCCGCAACAAAGCACGTGCGGTGGGTGGCTTGGGTGGGGGAGGGGGGGAGAGGGCAAACAAAAACAAAAATAAGAAGATATGATTCGACGGCGGTTTGTTTGTGCCTCCCGCACGTCGGCCGCGGCTCCGACTTGTGTGGTCTTCTCGCCGCGGCGACAGCAGGGCGGACTGCACACGTTTATTAGGGACGCGCGGCCCGCCAGCTTCGCCGCGCCGCGCCAGACGAGTAGCGCCGGCGACGCCCACGCGTCGTCGACGTTTGCGTCCACCGACTGGGCGACGCAAATGCAGCGGGAGCTCTTTGGGGAGACCGACCCCCTCGGGGGCCAGGCACACAAGGACTACTACCGGGACCCTGCGCGTGGCTACAGCCCGCAGTATGCGCCACGCAATTTTGCCGAGGGTGGCGCCATTGCCTACCACCACGCACAAAGTCCGCGGGAGTACGCGGAGGCCACGCATCGCCGCAGCTGGCTTGAGCACGACGTTTCACGGATGCAAGAGGGCTTCCACGAGCAGCGGGCGTCGTTGCGCGGGATGGAAAACCCCACGGAGCGCGAGGAGCTGGCACGCCGCTGCGCCGCCGAGCACCACGTGGCCGACACCATTCAGGAGAGCCAATCTCTCCACCCCCTGAACCAGCTGCACCACAGCACGAGCACGAGCGGAAGCGCACTCCGTCAACAAACGGTGGTGGACCGGTATCAGGTGGCGGGGCAGCAGGCACCCCTGGCCGCTTCAGACGGCATGAGTCGCGCGGAGCTCGCCGACGCCTACCTGGCGGGCAATGAGACGGTACGCGATGATTTGATTGCGGAGCATCTGCGCATTGTTCACGGCTTAAGAGAAAAGGAGAAGTACGACTTCACCGTCCTGCAGCGTGGCACCCGTATTCCTTTCCAGGGCTACGACATGGATCGATTTCTCGCCCAGCAAAAGGGGACACCGTACGGGGCCCAGCAGTTGCCCCCAAACACTGTCAGTTCTGGCATGGACGAGGCACAGCGAACGCTGCGGGATCCGGCGGCGAGTGTGCCGTCGTTTGAGGCGCTCTCGCAGAAGGCCTTTGCAAGGAACACGGTGCGTGATCACCCCACGACGGGCGAGGAGCTGACCCAGGAGATTGTCGGCTCCTTGCGAGCCACGCGCGCGGCATCCGAGCGGCAGCGTGAGCAGGAGCGGGCGCAACGCTTTGGTCTTGGTCGACAGGGAGCCCTGGTGCAAGACGGCGGACCCGACAAACGCACATTGAAGAAGCACACCAACGACGAACGCATCATGGACGCCATGTTCTTCCGCTCCAACGCCTACCGTCGGACGCCGACGGATGAGCACTGGAACCCGTACCTGCGACGGGACACCGCCCGCGGCGTCGCCCACCTGCTTAACAACAAGTTTGACCTTGCGCGCCGCGAGGATCGTCTTGCAAAGGGCGAACAGGACCTCACGGAGCGCAGTGTGATGCACCTGGGCGTGCCTATTCAGCAAACCATTGACGAGTTTGTGTTTCGTCACCGCAACGCCCGTGGGGAGCGTCCGCTGGACTACTTTAAACCGTTTCCTGGCTTTCGTGACCTGCGGTTGAACCGCATGTACCGCGATGTGGAGGGGTTTTCGCTCATGAAGCAGCGACCCGAGTTTCTGGAGTGGGAGCTCTTTACGCGTTACCGCGCCCACCACCAGCAGCGACGTCGCATTGCCCTCCTCCACGGCCTGGAGCCTGTCGCGAATGAAACAGCACAAGAGAGGGACGCACGGAGGCAAAAATTAGATGAACTCTGTGAACGCACCCCGTTCGATGAAGGGGAGCTGCATCCAAACGATGACGAGATGCAGGTGGGCGGGGAAACGCTGCGCAGTTGGTTTGGCGTGTACATGCTTCCTTCCCCCACCGTGGTGGAGGCGGTTGTGGGGGCCGCGGCCTCCGTCAATTTGCACCTTTTCCCGCTTCCCGATGAGATGGGCACGGCAGACACCCGCGAGAATGTGCTGAGTGCCCGTTACTTTAACCGGCTGCTGCTCATGGAGGCCTTTCAGTACCGCATTGGCCGGGCGTTTATGGGCAGCGTGAATGGCAAGGCGCCAGAGCCGGTCGTGCAGTACATGCAGCCACCCGAGGTTTTGCGCCACTTTACCGCGGAGGAGCGGGCCATGTATGAGCAATACGTGAAGGAGCAAACGTCGCAGCAGCTCGGTGCGTGGGCAACCGCCATGCGTCGCCGTCGCTGGATACCAGAACAGCAGCAGTACGGCCACGTCGTGGCGCAAGGCTACGAGGTGCACGTGGTGGACCTTCAGCACACCGACACCGCCGCCGTCCTGACGGTCGCGGCGAAGGCGTTTGAAGACGAATTGCTGGCGGCGCGAGGAAACGCCGGTCACATCATCATGGTGGAGGGACAGTCCTACAAGCTACGCCCCGATTCAGAACGCAGCGTGGTGCCGCTGTCTGTAAAGCTGGATTCTGGGGTGGTGCTGGATATGACCGACGAGGTATTCGAGCGGTATGAGTTGGAGGCACTGCCGCAGAACGCCAATCATGCGCTGAACTACGGCATTGGCAACTATGTCTACAACCGCGGGAACTACGTGGAAACGCAAGATGCGATTTGGGAGGCGCAAACCGCGTCGGGTGAAGAAGGCTGGTCGCCCGCAACACACGCAGACGGTCTGCGGGCGGGCTTGCCAGTGCGAGCGCGGCGCCACCTGGGCGTGAGTGCGGCCGGCTCACGCATTGTTAGCACCCCGCAGCGTGCGGTGGTTGTCGCCTACGACCGGCAGCCCTTCTTCAACCCCGAGCCGCGGCTCGTGCGGGTTGCCTTCGCGTCTGACGGCGTCGTGGAGGAGGTGCCCTTGTCGGATGTCATGATTTGGCAGCGCCGCTATTACGGACCCGAGCGCACCGTCGGCGACGAGTCGCGGCGGTACAGTCCGGTTAGTCTGCGGCGCTACGTTGACGTCGCCGACCCGTTTAACGAGAAGGCGTCCAAGGCGGAGCATTTCCTGGACAAGTACGAGGCCGCCCGCACCTCCGAGGTGGCCGCCAGCAAGTACCGCACGACGAAGCAGATCACGGAGATGGATCAGTGGACGCGGTTTGACATGTGCCGGGCGGACAATTTCCGCCCACTGAGTATTTCGCACCGGCGCGATTACATTCGACTCGGCTACATGCACCGCTACACCCCCTGGGAGTGGATTGCGCAGCAGGAGGCCGATCAACCCCTCATTGCGGATCAAATTCGCCAGGACAACGTTGGTGCGAGTTACTTCTTCTCACTGAATCGGTACTGGCGGTATAAGGCGCGACCACACGGCTACATTCGTCACTTTGACAACGAGGTGCGGGATTTGTTCCAATTTATTGACGGTGTTACGCCGTGGAAGCAGGCGCAAAAGATTCGCACATACTGGGAGGTGCGGGCGCATCATCCTATGCCGCAGTTTAACCGTCCAGAGGTGGCGATGCACCGCAACACGGTTGGTCTGCTGCCTGCGCACCTGTGGGAGACGGACAAGAAGACAGGCAAGGTGAAGGCGGTGAAGGACTCCGTCAGAGACTACCAGACGAAGACGCCGCTGCCGACGTGGGTGCAGCTCTAGGCACACCTCCGTGCCCACGCACCCTCTTGCCATGCGCTCGGCCCTCTCTCTTGTGACTACCGAGGAGAGGGAGAGAGGCGTGCGTGGTGGCGCTAGTGGAAAAGGAAAAGAAAACAAAAAGCGAAAAACGGGAGCAAAAAAAAAAGAGCGCGAGTGGATGAGGGACCCCCCACATTACACGCCAGGGATATCATCTGTAAACATGGATATCCTAAACAAAACCGGAAGGCGTTTTTTTCTTTTGATGCATTCTCTCTGTT